CTTGGGGCAAGGTCCAGGCGGGCTGGAGTGGGGGAAAGGGAATGGAGAGAAGCAGATGCAGGGGGAGATATAGGCAGGCCAGCTCAGCCAGGCCCTTCAGAAGGCTGCAGCTGGAGGACAGAGGGGGCTGGGTGGGAGGCAGAAGGTGCCCCGGGGCTCTGCAGACTTGGGTTGCAGTGGGTAGGGGCACCCGGCAGCACCTAAGGTGGGGCCTGCCCCATGCAGCTCTGCAGGGATAGGCTGCAGTCCCGCCTGTGAAGGGATGCCAAGCTTGCTTGGCCCCCAGCTCCAGGCTCAGCTTCCCCGCATGGTGGGTACAGCGAGAGTGGGCCAGAGCCACCCCGTGTAAGGGCCCAGCTATGGGAGCCCCATAGGCCCTGGGAAGAGCTGCCGTGGGCAGTGCTCAGAGCTGAGCCGGTCAGGAGCCTCCAGTTTAGTGGCCCTCTGCAGCATCTGTCCAGGCCCTGGCCCCTGGAGGGGAGCTGCAGGTGGGCAAAGCCGGGGCCTGGGCAGGTGCTGCAGAGGGCCGCAGTGCTGGAGGCTCCAAGCAGGTGGGAGAGCCCTGGGCCCACCTCAGGCAGATGGATGCCCTGTCCCACCACAGTGTGGGCAGCACCGGGGTGCCAAGCATTGGGGTCAGGTCCAGGCAGTGCAAAAAGAAGTAGGTGCTGCAGGCTGGCTAGCCCAGCCAGGCCCTCAAGAAGGCAGCAGCTAGAGTGGGGCCAGGCAGGAAGTGGGAGCTGCCCCAGGGCTCTGAGAACTCAGGCCACAGCAGACAGAGGCGCCCAGTCCGGCCTGCGCAGCTCCACAGGGATGGGCTGCAGCCGCCCTGCCCATGAGGGAACACCGCCTGACAGGGCCATGACAGGGCTTGGGGGGCTCCTGGGTCAGCCTCCCTGTGTGCCTGGCACAGCAAAAGCGGGCTAGAGCAACCTCTGGTAAGGGGGCCTGGCTGCAGGAGCCCCCTGGGCCCTGGGAACAGTCACCGTGGGCAGCACTCAGGGCTGAGCCAGCTATGAGCCTCTGGCACAGCAGCCCTCCACAGCATCTGCCTGGGCCCCACCCCCCTGCAGCTCCCCTCCAGGGGCTGGGCAGGTCTGGGGGGCACAGCCTGGGGACACGGTCAGCAGAACGCAGACAGCATCCCTGGCTGTGTTCTTCTGAGTCCTAACACGGTGTCTGCCGTGACACTGGGACCTGTGGCTACTCCAGAGCCAGGAGCAGCAACTTAAAAAATATTTTTTTTAAAACAATTTCCTCTCACACCTCCTGGCACGCCAAGAAAAACATCTGTGCGCGCCACTAACTGGCACGCATGACCTAGGAGTTGTAGCTCTTAGTTCCCTGATTTGACCATGCTAATATGTCCTTCCTGCTCAGTTACGCTGAAGCTGTTACCTCTCAGGCCATTCTCTATGCCAGGAGAGCATTCTATTTCAGCAGGCTGTACCTATTTCCTTCCAGAGTCCCCTGTGGGCATTTCAGTTCCTCTGCTTTATGTACCATACCTTGCTAGGATGGATTCCCACATGGACAGTTGTGCCGTTGGCCTTCTCACGCTGTACACGTTCTATATAGATGACGTACTTTTTTCTGTATACTTGGACTACTTTGCCGATCTGCTGACCTTTGTAATGTCCCCGGACAACCTGAACAATAACAGAAGCATTATTACAATTTTAGATTCCACTACTGGAAATAACACCTCCATGAAAATCATGATCTTAACCATGTGCAAGATTCAAAACTGCCCAGGTTGAAATCCCAGTTCTGCTCCTTGCACGTGTACACTACAACATCTTGCAGTCAAACTCCATACAACATAATGTACAACATAATGTTCAGCAAGGCACAAAAATGGTAGGAAATTGCATCTTTACTGCAGGTGCAGTACCAAAAAAGAAAGATTACGTATCTGATGATTTAAACTGAAAGGAAAAGCAGCTCCTTCAACGTAAGTTTGTCTTACATGAAGCTTCCAATATAGGGCACCTATACATGAGCAGTGAGGTTGCTCTGATGCACTGTAATTACAATTGAGTCTGCTGTAGCATAGTAATTGCTGCATTCCAGCAGTCTTCCACCATCTCGTGCACCAGCGTCCCCATGCTTAAAAATGGCAGCGAATCGGGGAGGGCGATGGAGTGGAGATTGGGGGGAGTGGGGGGGCAGGGGGGGCGGCTGCAGTCACCTGAAAATTCGCCGTAGCCCCTGCCACCTGCCCGGAGTGCAGCACGGTGCAGCCCCAGCCTTGCCAGACCTGCACAGATCTGGGTGCACATGCCCCCACCCCACTGTACCCTTCTAGATAAGCAGTGAGAGCAGTGACGAGAGCCACCAGACAAGCAGCTCTCAGACCAAAGGTGCACAGCAGCAGGAGTTGCCCCCACTGCGCAGAGCTTGCCCCAGCCTCTGTCCCAGCCCCAATCCCTCCTTCACTGCAGGGGCATTGATTGTGTCATCGTCCCCCCCCTCCAGACTTACTAGCTGAACACACCTGTATCGAGTATCGTAAGGGAACCAATCCCCCATTTATAACACTGTTCCTATGGGAAAACTGGTTCTGAGTTACGATGTTTCGACTTAAGATGCAGTTTTTTCAGGAACCAATTCAGGTAAGTCTGAGGACTGCCTGTATAAATACCCATAGTGTCTAGTGTTCAAAATACTTATGCTGCCTCTTTTCCATTGGAGAACTTCCATCAAGCACTGAGCAGAGCAGCCTGATACCACAACTGCGTGAATGTCTACAGCGTAGGACAGCGATGCTCAATTCATCCATCTCCACAGGCTAGATGCAGTGCAGTGTTGCTCCATGGGCCAGATCTGGCGTGCAGAGCCACATCATGTGGTCCTTGGGACTTCCCACAGGCCTTGAAATTTGGTAGCAGGACAAGCAGCAGCAATATTAACTGCTGTAGCTCCCAGAGCCACAGCAATCAACTTTGCCACCATTTCTGAACCCATGGGAAGCCCCGTGGACTAGATCTTGCTCATGCCCGATAGATATCAGGCCTTTGCTGTTAATCTGTATCTGAAACCGGCCCCACTCTACTACTGCATGAAGACAAAGTATTTACAAGGCTCAAACACTACACGAGAGCAAAATGGGCATTTACCTGGACTTCATCATCCTTTCGGATGGGCATAGAGCGGACATTGTATTTTTGCCGCAGTTCCTTGGAAAGGGGAGAAGACATTATCTTCCTGCGAATGTGAGAAGGTGCATTGAAGTGCCGCTTGCGGTTCTTGCTGCGGTCTGAAGTCACGAAAGGATTGAACTTCATTTTGACTATACAAACAAACACAATGCAAATGTAAAGGCTTCTGTACATAATAGTCTGCTAGTACTCAAGTCGGCCTACATTTAATGCAACAAGGCCCATAATCTCATAGGTTCCTTTAAATGTTTTCTTTAAATTTCCACCTAAAAATCTGCAATGCGCAATCCCGACTCTAGCAGTTTGTCAACCAATGCAAAGAAAACATTCTGCCCAAGAAACCAGGTAGTGAATAATTTCTCAGGTAGTCTATAGCCCTACTAAAGAACATGGTTCAAGGTTCAAAACTCACTGGACACATAAGACAGGAAAATATGATAATAATTATCCTTAAGTACAATTATAATTAGTGTATCTATAAAGTTAAACCATACAATGTAGAGACTTTTACTAAAAAGCAGACTAAATTGAGGAGAATAACAGATGCGCTAACTCAGCTCTGTCCATGGGCTTTTAGAATAATACTTTTAACACCCTAAATTATCAGTTTTATAACATCAGTGCTTCTCAACTATTTTATTCTCAAGGCTCAATACCTGTGAAGCAGCTTTATGAAACCGCCAGCCTTGCTATTTGCTTGCTTTTCTGACTAGAGGAAAATGATACATGCAATTCTTCCCTTGCAAAGAGACAGACTGCACCGGGGCAGCGCTTTAATCCTGCGGGTTCATAGACTGTACAGGCGGGAAGGGACCTCGCAAGATCATCGAGTCCAGCCCCCCTGCACTAGGCAGTAAAGTCAACTGTTCAGGTGACACCAGCAAGGTGACCATCCAGTTTCCTCTTGAAGATTTCCAGGGTAGGTGATTGCACCGCCTCTGGAGGGAGCTTATTCCACAGTCTGGACACTCAACTGTGAAGAAGTTCCTACTAGAAGCCTTTGGGTCGAACAAGGGGATCGTGCTTGCACACTGACCCTGGCTCCCAGGAAGGGCCCTTGGGAGGATCTCCAAGCACCCCGGGGTGCCACGGGAATCGCTGTGCAAGGCGCCGGGATCCGGGCCACAACCAGCCAACCGCTCCTTGGCCAAACTCCACTCTGCAGGAGCTCGGGCTACTCCGGACACCGGGAGCGGCCTGAGGCCTCTGCAAGGCGAGAGTCGCCCGGAGCCGGGGACGCCGAGGGTGGAAGCGACCAAAGCTCCGGATCGCAGGGCCGGGGAGCGCCGGGGGCGGGTTATTTGCAGCCCAGCCCGGCCCGGGCTCCACTAGCTCCCAGCGGTGTCGTGCCCCTGCCCCGTTCCCATTACGGCCCCCGAGCCCCCACCACGGCGCCGGGCACCGCCCGGGCCCCCCCGCGGGGAGGATGGTGGTGGATGGAAGCCGCCCCGCCCGCGCCGCCCTTACCCCGCTGCAGGCTCCGCTATGGCCGCCCGGAAAGAGAAGCGGACGCGGCTTCCGCCGGCCCATGTGAACGCCGAGCTCTCGCGAGACTTCGCCAACAGGAAGTGCCCAGGTTCGGCGGAGCAGTAAAACGGATAGTGACACCTGGCGGGCGCCAGAGTCACCTGCAGCTGAGGCTGCCGGGACCAGAACAGGCAAGGTCCTTTGTGTAGATGTGACATCTTTTCTTAGCCCAACTAAACAGTTGAAAAGATTCTTCTTTGCAAGCTTTTGGACACAAACACCCTTCTTCAGGACGAGGGAAAATCCCTCTGCCTGAAGAAGGGTGTTTGTCCCCAAAAGCTTGCAAAGAAACTGTTTAGTTGGGCTAATAAAAGATGTCACATCTACCCAAAAACCCTTGTCTGCCTATGCCTGTAGCTACAACCAACAACTCTAGGGCAAAGTTTCATCATACACAGGGCTGCTCCAGCTGGGACTCCTGTACCCTGGGAGGGAAGGAAGAGAAGCAGCACAAGGGAAAATGTAAGTATAGGAACATGGAGGAAGAATGGGAAGAAAAAAAACAAACAGTCCAACAACATACAGGTTGCTGGTGGAGAGGTTACTGAGTGGTAGTAGCAGCCAAGCCTCTTACCTTTTTATATCCCCGGCATAGAATGACAAGGGTGCTGCACCGCAGAGCACAGGGACGTGTGACAGCACTACAGCTCTGGGGCAAAGTTGTGGGAACGCTCCCGGGGACTGGCCAGCACAGCATAAAAATAAGGAATAAAACAAAGAGTTTTCTAGCCTCTCGCCCCCACCTCAGTCAAGAAGCAGAAAGCTATTTACCCCAGCAGAATGAAGCAAGTAAGGGACTGCTCCAGGTTCTCCATTTCCTCCTGCTTTTGCTGAGTTTAACTCCTCCTCCTCCCAAGTTTTTTGGGTTTTTTTAAAGAAAGTTAGAAGTGATATTTTCACCAACACTCCCATGATTGCCACTGTTACCTTAACACTGCACAGACAGTTGGGCCAGAGACATGTTCAGTAAATCCAGTTTCAGATTTTTCTGCAGTCGAGTTCTTCTTATGAATCCTGATACAAATACTCTCAATATCAAGGGAAATATTATCATGTCAAGCTAATAAAGATTTGTAAGGTGGGAGAAATCCTCAAATGAGTACTACTACACACTAGCTATTTTGGCCCACACAAAAAGGATAGGCAACATTTGTTCTAAACTGATGGTTTGCAATACACAGATTTCTAAAAACAGTTTCTGCAGTACTTTCAATTTCTTTAAAGGAGTTTAAGGAGTTCATACACAGCTCTGCCTTTCTGGGAAATCTACGTTTAACCACAGGCTTGAGATCAATTGCCAGTTGGCAGGGTCTGGCCCTTTTTCAGTCTACAGTGCAAGACACTTGGCTGTTAATAAACAAAATCAAAAGTTAAGTTAATGGAAATTTCGTAACTTGGGAAATGCAGATGAGTAGCATTTAAGTCATTCTATTTCTCACATTCCCCTTCCCTTCATTCTGATGAACAGTCTCATTTGGTCAACCCAGAGGGTTGTGAGCTGGCATTACTAGGCATTCAGACAAAAAGTTTGGGGGGAAGGGGGATAGGTGGGTCTGTTTCTGTTCTTTTAACAGCAAGGTGCACAACACATGAAGAGAAACGTGGAAAGTTCTGAGCACAACCTGTAAGGTGCTTAGCACTCATCTCCCACTGTGGGGGCCAGGGCCAGGGGTGTTAAGGCCACTCACCATTTTCTAGGATCAAGTCCTGTCTTATGCCCCAGAAGCAAATCAGTGTCAACTGAATTCATGAAAACTGTATGTTTCAACTTTCCATCCAGATCAATGCAACTACAATTATTGTACTGTGAGATCTGTGATAGCTCATTAAAATGAACATAAACTATTTGCAAATTAAAAGCCCACAAGACTTCATCTCGCAAAGCTTGTGGAACAAGAAGCCACTGGAAATGGTTCTCTTTATAATTATATCCAAAAAGAGTACAGTTCTTTTAATAAGATTGCAGACAAATGCTCAGAAATAAGCGACTGCCAGAATCCAGGTTGCCTGCACAATCTTCTCAAGACCCCCTGCTATCTAGCATATGTAATTAAATGACACCATCATAATACATGATTACAAATATACCCACTATATTTCCCCACATGGCCCATTGCCTCACTTACTGAGACATTTATCTGAAGTTTACAAAAGAGACAGTGGGTGGCAGGAATCAGAGGCATAAAAATGGTAATTTTCAAACTGAACTGTAAAACAGCTCTATAATGGAAATGTTCTGTAACCTTAACTGTTTAAGATACGTCTAGAGTGCTTAGAGCACCAATAGGGCAAAACATACACACACACACACAAATGAAGACAAGACTATCGTATTCAAGTTGATTCTGTAAATGAAAAAATGTATAAAATCTACCCATACATCAACAGTTACAGAAGTTACAAGATCAAGTTTACACCTAAAACAATAGCAATCAGTCCATAAGAACAGGGACATATTCAAATGCTGTCAGTTTACAGAAGTTACTACAGGGCAAAAAATATATATATTTTTAAATAAAATAAAAACCAGCAGCTATCTTCCCTACCTCAAAAGCAATGACATGATTTCAACAGACAAATATCTGGGATGCTGAAATGTTTCTGGAATCAATACTGAATATTCAAGATCCATTTATGTAGGATTTGGACAGGTCTGAGGCTGAAGATAAAAGACAATCAAGCCCCTTGTAGAATTGATAAAACTTGATAATAACCTTAGGGCTTATTGTTCATGATTTGCATCAATTCAAGAACACTTAAAATGTGTCCCCTCAGGTTGCATAATTTACAAAGCATGCAAAGATCATTACTATTGAAGGCATGTGCAGCAGCCTATGGAAAATGAGCCTGTAGGTTTCAGTTTAATACCTTGTAGACTGATGTCCACAACACATAGAAACTGCATCTGGCAGTAATCTCCCCTCATGCCTCATTTTGCTGGAGGTCTCAGAGGTCAAGGCTTGAATGGGTGAGCATGAATCTTCCCTTGTACACACAAACACTGGCAGGAACCAGTCTGTGGGGAAAAGGTTGCCCTGCAACCACCTGCTGTACCTGCTGTGCGGGCAAACAGAAGGTGCCAGTAACAGTCAGTCTAGGAATGATAACAAGTGCTAAACAGTTTTTAAAAAGGGGGAATTCAGGCACCTCAAGCCCCTACAGGACAGGGTCCCTGTGCTCTGCAGATGTGCACCATACACACATGAATGCACACAGAGCAAGGCCAGAAGCTGGGCACTAGCCCAGCTGAATACATCAACTGTCCGAGCAAGCATGGGTGACCACTCCAAATTCAACCAAGTCGCAGGCTAGACAGTCGGGTACTCCATGTTTAAAAAAAAAAAAAGGCAGGAGAAAGGGTATAAGCTAGTGCTACAAAAGACAAAACTATCCCCCTTCAAAACAAAGGCCACATAAAATAGTGTTATTCAGTTTGGTTTTTTACTTCATGCCACCTGTAAACACAAGACTGGATATTCAGTTTATGAGGAAAAATGAAAACATTTTTCATCCAGGGTACAAGAAAGGCCCAATCCTTCCCCCAGCCACCAGTGTTACCACCAGGGGAGGGTCTGTCATATTTGCTTGTTTCACTAGAGGGGGCAAACACCTGCAGAGAAGAGCTTTTGAAATAAGCCAAAAAGCCACTTGCCAAAGTCACTTCTGCCCTTTGCTACTAAAGTTCACTGTGGGAACTATCAATGCATACGGCCAATTTTTTGGCACAAGAGGTGGAATTTCTTCCAAATACATAATTTTGCTTCATTAAAAAGCAATAGCCTTCCCATGCAATTCTGACAGAATGAAAGAGCTCCTTTCTGCCCCCTACTAAGTCACACACTGCCTCAGGAACCTCCCAGACACTAAAACTGTCATCATACTATAGGATCCAGAGAAGTTATTTTGTTAATGCCAACGGTTATATTATGAATCTTTCTTTGGGACAAGGGGTGGAAATCCAAGCCCAGCTGATGACTTTTGGAACTTTAACACAGGGGATTACTTATGTGCTGTAAAGGTCTTGACTGAACAACTTGACTAAAGGAAAAAAATATCATTTAAAATCAATCAAATAGAAAAGAGAAAACAAAAAACAGGTAGTGGTAGGTTTCTCATTCTTTACTCCTGCCCCTGGAGACCTGGGTAAAAATTTCATTGCTACTGCATTTTCCCTAGCTGGATCTTCTTCCAGGCTTCAGAAGCTGTGAAGATGCAGGAATCGAGGATCCCAGCCACAGTAAATGTTCCTCCAATGATGGCACAAATCTGAAATTTACAGAGAGAGAAATTAGGAGATTGTTAACAAAAAAAATTACACAGCTCAGGAAAAGAAGATAAGTTGCTGCAGTTGCTGCTGGGATACTTTTAAGAAACACTACTCTTGCCCCCAAATGCTGTAGTGCTGAACAGATGTTTAAGTGCCAATGCACAGTGATCAGTTCTGGTGAAAGGGAATGAAACAACTTTCACTATGGCGTGAGCCTATTCTTCCCAAACGCCCACTTAAAGATAAGATCACCAAGTTGAAGTGTCATTCACACAGCATAGATTTTTATAAGAGTCCCATCACCATCTCTAGCATCGCAAAAAACAAATGGATTTTCTATTGGAATGTTTCACTTGTACATATAACATCTGCTTTTCCTAACTCTCTTATTTTCTTGGATAAAGAGACTAGCCCCTTCCAGCTCCTGGTTTATGCATAATATGGGAGAGAAAATCTACTTAAATAGCCTTCTTCAATCCAGTAATGATATAAGTGATTAGATCAAAGAAGCATGAGGAGTTCTGACATAGAGAGGTCAATCATTTCTTTTGAAGTGTCACCTGCTATGCAGGGAAGCTCCAAATTGTGCCCTCATCGTTCCCTCATGCTGTTCTCATCCCCCCTACCTGCTTTCCCTTCTGTGGAAGGTGGTCACATACCACACCAGGAAAAAAAAAATTACACAGTGGAATCCCAATTTCTATCATACGTCCTAACAAACCACAGCACATCCCAAACCCTACGTGAAGACCCCTCCTCCCCTCCTTTCATATTTCAACCACTACTGTAGAATCCAAAAATATCTGAAGGAGATGCACACCAAGGAAAGACACCAGTTTTAAAGGGTTAAAATGGGGAAGTAGTCACTACAGTCCACGAGTAGGGACCTACTTAAATGGTAGTTTTGCAATTTTTGTGGAAACCATGAAAAACCGCAACCTCCATAATTGCTGGGGAAAATAGTATTGGCCGCAATTTCCCAGGAAACCATCCAAAAAAATCCCAACTTAATAAAAATAAAATGCTGACTCCCCAATGATCCTTGCTGCTGCTGTGGCCTGGCCTTGCAGCCCACCTGAGAAGTGTAGGATGGCAGGGCAGCACGAAGTCAAAATGATCACAAAAATCAACTCTTTGGCTGCAACCAAGCTGCAAAAATTGCTTTCTCTCACTGAAGATTGTCACAACCCAAGGGTGTGATTTTGTTTGTGCGCGCTTCGGCACTGCTAAATTATTTCCCGCCACTAGGAGCTTTCTTTGCAGGGTGCATTTCTTAGTTGCAAAGAGAAATGCACGGTGCAAAGGAGTTCCCGCCATTCGCACGCAAATGTGTGTCCCACTATTGGCCAGTTCTAAATTATTCCCACGTGACGGCTAGTGATTGGCTTGCTAGCCGTATAAGAGGCTTGAGCAGTTACCGCCCCTTAAGAAGGCTATAGGGGTCTGATCAACCTCTGGCCTCTCCCCGTCGCCGAACGATCCCTCAACGAACCCCTTCCCTGCGCGCAAGTTCCACGGAGCCTAGCAAACTTCGTGTGAGCGTATCCAGAGCTCTACCCGGGTTCGAGTCCTGCAGGTTTATCTTCCCGTCGCCGAAAACCCATTGCGACGTACTCTCGTGTTTTGCATCTTCCCGTCGCCGAAAACCCCCTGCGACGTACTCTCATGCCCTGCAGGTTCGAGTTTTGTTTTGTAACTGCAACTCAAGCAAGTTTTCCTGCCTGCATCGCGACCATCTTCGGTGTAAGTAAAATAATCTTTAATCAACCGCTAAGCATCTGTGCCCAATTCTAGCCTGCCGGCCTGCATTTCCCGACCCGGCGTGTCCGGGTTGCTGGCCACAGCCCGCCGCGCACAGGCCCCCGAGGGCCTCGGGCTGCTCCCGGCCCACACAAAGATTAGGTAGGTTCCACTCCCTACCCATGAGACTCAAAGCTGTGGAGCAGCTTCCCAAGGAAGTGGTAAAAACTTCATCACGTGACAAGGTTGTCTTGACACAATGCTACATAGTGTACCACAGGAGACAAAGTTGAATTGTCCCCTAAGAGATGAGAAAAGGCTTACTAAATCACAAATCCTAATTTCCAGGATTCAGTAGAACAGGTACCAGTCTCCTTAGACAACCAGCACAGCCATCCAGACTCTCCCTCTCTGCCTCTACAGTTTTGTAGTGGTACAAGATCCTTTCCTATTGCATCTTTCATTGACCAAAACAGCTTCCCCCGAAAACATTTCTCTGCTCCATTACGGCTCTTAAATCTTCCCTCCTTCACCTTTAGCTACCTTTAAGCCTTTTAAACTGTGTCATGCTGCAATGCATTTACACATCTGCCTTCTATCACTGATAGCATATCTTGGCTGCCTTCCCTGATTTAACACAGGACAGCACTTTGCAATGCAGATGAGACAAAAGGCACTCAAAGCAGAGTGCATCATTCAGTTTGTTGTGGATATAAACTAACAAGGAAGAACTGGCAGAAACACCTTGTAGTTAAGTTTGGCTAACACTTTCCATTACAAGAGCCCATTTTCAATTCTTAGTAACACTGACAAACTAACTGTTTGGGGGACGATTACCATGCTTAATTATTCAGCCGTTAATTATTTGAACTTCAACAAAAACAGTTCAGCCATTTCCAGGAATAAAGTCAGGGAAAATGTGTTGTCCAGTGTCATAAAACTTCTTACATCCGTTTCATTTTATTCACTGAATGTCCGGGCTTTTAAAGAAAGGCCTGAAGTTTGCCAGAGGAGCTGCTCTGGAGTCACAGGATTGTTTTTTAGAATGCCACAAAAATCCATTTAAATTTAGGTCAAGGGTAAACCTTTGTACAAGTTCAGTAGCTGTTTGTTAATGCCCAAGAGGAAATATCTCTGAACAGCCCCTTCTGCACTGGGACAGTTCCATCTCCACAGAGCTCTGTAGCAACAGCACTGAACACGCTTCATGCATACAAACTCACCTTCAGCCAGGGCTAACCAGATCCCTCCCAATGATTGCTCTTCTCAGCTGTCTGGGGTCATTGTAATGCTAAGCAAGAGCATAGTGACTGCCCCTCCTGTGCTGTCAATGCTCTTGCTACTGGTGCCCAGGTAGTATGGCCAAGAAGGAGTCTCTTAACTGAGGCAAGGAGCAAAGCGAAGGCAAGAGCAGATGAGAAAGGTGACAAGTCTGGGGAGGACAGGGGACCTGGTAGGGGATGGGGCAGGAGAATTTTACTGTTAAAGAACACTTTAAAGTCTGGAATAACATTTAAGATTGTTAAGTCAACAACCCCCTTCCATAAATACATGTGAAATCTATTGGCAAAATAAGTGCATCACGTCCCTTTAGCGGCAGATCTACATACCACTAGCAGACTGTTATCCTCCATTAATTATTACATCAGCTCAAAGGAGTAGAAGTCCTGGTGTGGACTTAAAGGTTGTGTTGATGACCAAAGAAAGCGAGTAGATCAGCTTGGTTCTACACAGTAAGTTCCATCTTTTCCTATTGCTTAAACATACACATGCCCACACGTACACCTTGAAAATTACGTGAAAAGAACAATGTTTAAAGGACATTTAGGTTTCATATTTGCACAAGTCTGGAAATTAAAAGTTGCTCCCACAATTTTAATTCCTCTTTCCCCTGCTTATGAATTCTGGTAGTCTTTGGTTACACGATCACATACTATTTTCCCCCAGGACTTCAATCTCATTCAGCATACAAACTGGATTGCGCTCTGGGGCTGTGTAGTGAAGAAGAATGCTAGAAGCTCCTGCCTTTTTGTTAAAGAAGTGAGAAAGTGTGGGGTGCATAACATAGGGAGTTGTGGAAAAGAAAAATGTCTTTTAGGACTGGGGAAGTTTAATGTCAGCCTGGAGAAACTGATTCTTCTCCCTGCCCCTGCCACAAACGTCTAATGTGATGCTGGGTGAGTCAGCATCACATTAGATGCTGTTGGCCACTAATTGTGTGTTTCTCATTTCCTGAGTGCACAGCCCAAGAGACTGCTTTGTAGAAGTGACCAACATTCAAAAACACAGCTAACAGGCAGCAGGAACTGTTCTTTCAGCAATTTTAAGGCACTTCATACCCCACATATTCCACAAAGTCAGGTGCTAGAAGTCTTATTATCTTGAGCACCCAAAATTAGTAGGCACAAGTTTGGTCTCAATCTCTTTGCTTCAGTTCCATTATCTGCAAAATGGGGATCATACAAACCGTGCCATACAGGGATTTTGTGACGGTAAATTCATTAATATTTTTAAAGCATTGAAAACCATAATGATGATTATTGCCATAAGACGTCCATAGGAAAAATCAATCATTCAGTATTTAGTGTAGGGTTTAAATGGGATGGCAGTAAGCAAGCTAAATAGGGATATAAAGAAATAAGCAGCAGCTACCCATTCAGTTTGCCCTGTCCATTCCATGCACAAAGTGAGGCACAACTTGCATGGAAAAAACAGCATGCAGGTAAGAAGTGGGGACCTGGTGGCTGCCTACAAACTCATCAGGGGAGATCAACAGCAAATAGGAAGAGCCCTCTTCTCCCCAGCACCACCTGGGGTGACGAGGAACAATGGTCATAAGCTGATGGAGAATAGGTTTAGGTTAGAGATCAGAATGCAATATTTTACAGTTAGGGTGGCCAAAATCTGGAACCAACTTCCCAGGGAAGTGGTCCTTGCCCCTACCTTGGGCAAATTCAAGAGGAGGTTGGATGATCACCTGTCTGGGGTCTTTTGAACCCAGCATTTATTCCTGCCTGTGGCAGGGGGTCAGGCTAGATGATCTGTTCAGGTCTCTCCTGACCCTAGCTACTATGAAACTATGAAAAAGAATGTACCACAATGCACCTACACCAGGGCCAGATTCAGGCTGTAGGAGTCCCTTAATTCTACCACTTCCTTACCCATGGTACCTTAACTTGATCTTCCTTTAATGTAGCCTTAAATTTAGAGCATAGCTGAAAAGGGTAAGCTACAATGCTGGACTGCTCAGCACGCCTGC